TTACCCTGACAATGGTAGTGGGGAATGAGAACAACAACAGATATCACAAATCTTTAAAGTCAATTTGAATAAACAGAATATAATACTTATAAATTTGTGGACAATTTTCAAAGCTCCTCAAAGAGGAACAGCAGACCAATGAACCTCTTACATATCATGTACTATGTAGAAAGAACTGCTGGTCATTTTCAGAATATGAACAGATACATTGCAGCAGACAGGCAGGCCAATGAGATAAACTTACAAACACAAACATGTATAATCCATAAACAATTATATATAAGTTATCAATGTATGTCAGCAGTTCTTTCCACACATCTATGCCTCTGAAGTGCTACACTGGCAGATGGAGATCACCAACCATTTTGGTTCTCCTTTCCCTCTGTTTACCAATGTTTTGTTTGTGTAATTATCTTCACAGGGAAATGATAAAAGTCCAGCATGGTGGTACACAGCTACAATCCCAGCACTCAGGAGGCTGAGATTGGAGGAATGTGAGTTCAAGGGCAGCCTGGGCTACACAGTGAGACTTTGCCTAAAAAAAAGCAATGCATCATAGACTTGTTACATATATTGAACATATCAACTTACACTCTTTATTAACTAGTCCTAAAAGAAATTTATGAAAAAAATCCCACATATTAATGCAAGTTAATGTAAGGAAGAGCATTTCCCCTTTCAAGAAATGTTTTTAAGTTACAGTATATTTGAGGAATCTTCTCTAGAATATGAGTAATAGATTGAATCAAATAGAAAAATGCAAAGTATTATATTTGACCTACAATGCATGCAATCCCTGTAATCTGGACTATAATTTGAACCAAGTTGTGGAAATATAGAAGCTCATTCTGGAAATTAAATCCTTTAAGAAAGCAGTTAAGGTGAATTTATGTATTATACTCATTCCACTCAACATAAATTCTACTGAGAATAACAATTCTAAAGCAATACTATTCTTCATTCGATTTAGCAGTGTTTTATCTACTCTTTTAAAATAACAGATAAAATGACAGTTACACATTGAGTAACACCAATCATATTCTACCTCACGAAGAACCTGTAAATAGGCTTGTATTTCTTCTTTTCTGAAGAATTATTAAGTGGGAGAAAAAAATTGGGAGAAGTCTTTTAGCATGGTCAATGGGAAATTTCCTCTCCCCTAAAAACCCACCGCTATACAGCCTTTGAGGGAAAAAAAAAAAAAACAAATAAAGCTTTTCTGAATATTAGAAGTTTCCCTTCGAGGCAGCCTCAGAACAGTAAGCATTTAAATAATATCTTCATAAAGGATATTTTTTCCAAGTTAAAAATCCCAATTTGCTTTACTTAAAATGTTGAGTTGATTTTATAAAAAAAAAAAAAAACAATAAAATCAGCTTAAAATAAATTTATTATACAATACAAAAAAGTAGGCATACTGGAAAATAAAGGTACATTATTAAATATACAAAGCAAATGAAAGAAAGCTAAACAACACAAATGTTTCAATCCAAACACTAGATAAAATGCACAACATTTACACTAAAAACAAAGTATTTCAGGAAAAATACGCATTTCAAATGAAATGTTAATGATGCCAAAAAAAGGAAAAAAAGAAAGAAAAAAAAGAAAAACAAATATGCTATCTTGTAAATAAATGCTTGAATATCAAGAATCACTAATGGCATGAAATATTAAACCCAACAATACTGGGTACTTTTCAAAGAACTTTATTTGAAAAGGTATTTAAGAATACTGAAAGAATCAAAATATGTCCTTAAAAGTGGCAAAGCTTTTCTTTTCTTTCTTTCCTTTTAAAAAAAAATTTGCAGGCCTATTCACGAGATCTTACTTCTTCTTACTTATACCTTCCTATAAAACTTTCCAGGTGCTTGTTCTTAGCATTCTCTAACCACAGTAGCTTAAACTTACTTCATATATAAGTGTGCATTTAAACCTTACCAATGCTATAGGGAGTGTCACAAATTAACATCTAAATTTTGAAATTTATGGAAATATGAACACAATATAAAAACTGATCTTCATTTTATAAAGTAAAACCAACTTCTAAATGAAATAGTAAAAGGTAACAGTTTAGCACACAAAGGAAAAGAAATGTTTTTTTTCAACTAAGGCATTCAATTACCTAAATAATAAGTGGCCCTGGTGAAACAACACTAATGTGACACTGTCTATAGGTGTAGCAGTGGCAAGGCCTTCACAAGCATCCAGTTAGGAAATGCATCTGAGCATTAATGGAAAGTTCACATAACCACAAAATCCCTGGTAAAAGCCTCCGAAGTTTAATATAAATACTCAAGTTTAATATTCAATTTAGCCCAGAGGCTTCTGGCCAACACTTTTGGAAGAGAACTTCTTTTCCCAATATGTTCCCATATTCAAGACAAACGATCAAGATTTTTTATATCTATATTTACACTAGAACTAAATTGCCCACTGAAATCTTTTTTTCTACACTGAATTTACTTTTGTAGAATTTGCCATATCACATATATGCCATCACTTAAAAAAGTCATAGTTTTCCTTCTCAATCATTCCCTACAAATTTACAAGTTTAAAATGAATAAAATAAATAAACTCAAACTATGGAGAAAACAGGACAGGTATATGGAAGAAGGAAGAAGTGTGAATAGGTCTTACAGAACTTTACAATTGCTTGGCCAAGATACTTTAAAAATTCTGTGCATAATTATTTGAAATCAGGTTATGTAGAACCTATGGTTCTTCTCTTAAAAACAGTTTTTGATTCTCAATATTGCATTTTTATAACCAAACGAAAAGATTCAGATCTAGCAGATATTTTAGTAGCATACTTACTACCTTCATATTAAATTCATTTCCTAGTACTCTAAGAGTTCAAAAAGAACAAACTTTATAAGATATTATAATTTATCTATCACAAAAGAAATATTCATTAGCATTTATGAAATTATTAGGATAATAAAATTATTAAAAGCTAAAAAACCAAAATTTTCCATCCATACTTTAAATATAACAGAAAAAGTTGTGTGATAATATGAAAATAAAATTCATATTGAAGACACTCACTGTCATCCTTCTGAGTAACTAACCATTATAGCTTTATAACAATGAAACATGTCATTATCTCACATCTAAAATTCTTTGGCTGGAATGTTTCAGTAATTTAAAACACTCCTGTCCATGATAATTCTGACAAAACACAGAAGTTGCAAAGCAAAGAAGTGTTTGATAAATTTTTAACCAAATTTTTAAGAATTTAAAGCCAATCTTTCATACAAACTGCATACATGTAAACTGAAGCTAATTTTATAATCTATTGATATTTATATTTATATTGATATTGATATTTAAATTTGATATTCAGCAATCTGTCTTTTTAGTTTTGCAATTTAACACAGAAGTACTTTGTATTGCCACTATCAATGTCTTACCAGTTTTAAAACTGGAAAGAAAAGACAAAATGGAACAAAACTTATTAATTCAATTTGTATCTTTTAGAACTAAGAAATGACAATGGGATTATCTGAATATATAGGTAAAATTTTAATTACATCAAGGATTTAAAATTATTTTTTTTTGTATTTTTTAATTATAAAGCAAATTTGCTTTATTTACTGGTAAATACTCATTTGAAGACTAACAAATCCACTTTTTAATCTATTACCTTTATACAAAGATTACAAGCAAAAAAAAATTCTTTTTTTTAAAGCTTTATGGCTCCAGCACCCAAGGTTGAGAACATAAAAAAACTCAAATAAATATTTATGGTTTGAAAAAAAGCTAAAGATGTTTGAAAGATTAAAGGAACAAACATTCTGAAACTAGAACCCATTCCTTTAGCTCTTTTCTCCCAGACTTTCCATTCTATACACTACAGTTGTAGAGATGTCCTCATTTGACTCAGGTGACACTTTTTTCCATACTGTCTCTTTTAAAGCAAGTTCTTGTTGGAGACTTTCATAGTCCAATGGTCCAAAGGAATGCTAGTTGTTCAAGCAACATACATAATTTATTAGTGCACTTGAGTGAAGAAAGGTCCAAGCTATAAAATGGTATTTTTCAATGAATGTTATTAAAATCCATTAACATTTTCACCCACCACCATCTGACATCTTGCTCCATGTTACTCATGTCAACTCCAATGAAAATTTCTACACTGTCAAGCTTTGCATAATTCTGATACATATTACCATAAGTTACTTTGATCAGAACGAACAAAACTTAGTTTGGCATTAACAAAAATTTATTCAGTATGTGTTTATTTACTACTTATAATGCTTTAGAGTCTAATAGGTGACTTTATTGTAAACATTTTTTAATGTGTGATGCAAAGGAACTGAATTAAAATTCTCAACACTAGTCCCTTGATCCAGTGAAAAACTATAGAACAAAAAAATTAAGTTCTGATTCTGTTTTTGTTTTAATCAAAGTATTTTTATTAGCATACATTAGTTGTGAAGGGGGATTCATTGTGTAAGTCTTAACACTATTTCTAAAAAAGAAATATGTATGTATAAATAAAATGAAGTTAAACAGAGTGATAATAAACAGGACTTCAGAAGTACATCATTTACACTGATCTATAAAACTTATTATGAGACTTTATAAGGTCTCTCACTAACATTATAATACCTTTCCATTTACATATTCATCTACAAATTAGGCAGTAGTTGAACTTTTTAATTCAGAACTATAACTGACATATAAGAATAAAAACAAAACCTTCTTTTAAATTGCATTTATAGTATGTAAGACCTTCCAATGTCTTTTTTTAACAGAAATCTTGCAGAAAACTGGCCCCTGCCCTTAAGCTAACTACTTCCAATTTAAATAACAAAACAATATTTAATATTTATTAGTGATCCAGTACAAAAATGTCAACAAGTTGTTTACATTCAATAGTGATTGCCAAAGACATGAGATAACTAACATACTTAAGTTTTATTTAAACAGGCGAATCTTACTTTCTATGTTTTAAAAGAATACTACAGAATAATCTAATAAAGAGTTTGGCTTACCCTTTGATCGCCACCTTCTCTTCGAGGATCAAGTTTTTTTGCAAAATGTCTCAAATTATCATAGTTGTGGAAATTACACAGAGAAACAAGATCCTGCAAAGAGTTATACAATGAATAGCTATTCATTGGCTATTTTTATTCAAATTTTAACAACTATGTTTACACTGTCCAGCTTAAGTACTATCTCACAGAAACCACCACTGCATGCTAATGAAGCAGTGAATGCAAATAAGAGGACTGACATCAGAATAAGATACAGATACAGGGTGGAAAACACACTGACTGTCATCTTGTATAAAACAAAACTTAAGTAATAAAGGCCACATGCCAACTATAAAATGCTATAAAAATATAAACAAATACTCTGGTTCAAATATATTATAATTTACTTTATATGCAAGCCAATGTCATTCTCTAGATTTTGTAAAATACAAAATACTAAAAGATAAATTGGAATTATAATTGACTAAATGTGCAAAACAACATTCAGGTATTTAACATGGACTCTAGGAAATAATAAATGTAAATAAAGCTGAAGCTAAAATATTAGCAAGAACTGGAAGACAAAAAATTACTGAATAAATCAAGAGTATAAAAATTTTAAATATTTATCTTTTGCTTTTATTTGCAGTGCTTATTTCCTCATATAAAACATTTAAGGTAGTTAATGAAATATATCCAACTATGCATATTAAAAGTGATATAATAAACAATCCTTAAAATGTTTGATTTTAAATTACTTGTCTGTATCTTTGATGAGATTTTGAAAACTGAAAATATTAGAGGCTGGGCACCACTGGCTCATGCTTATAATCCTAGCTACTCAGGAGGCAAGGATCAGGAGGATCGTGGTTTAAGGCCAGCCCAGGCAAATAGTTCTTAAGATCTTATTTTGAAACTACCCACACAAAAAGGGTTGGTGGAGTGGCTCGAGCTGGTCTATAGGTAAGAAGAGTACCAAGAGTCAGTAAGTATGGAAAACAGATAAAAAAAGGAATCACTGGATGGCTCACTTATGATTATTATTTTCATTCAAAAATAGCTTACATGACAGAAGTGAATCCCCTTAACACTGTTGCCCATCTTGTCCAGAGGAGGAGACCAGCACATCATACCCATGACATTGGGGACAACTAAAAGAATGCCCCCAGCAACTCCAGATTTGGCAGGAAGACCAACCTGAAAAATAATTCAATGAAATGGGCAAACATTATAAAATAAAAAATACTATGTTTAACAAATAGAGGAATTGGTTAAAATTATGTCATATATCCATGAGAGAATTTCAACACTGAAAATGTTGCAGATAAATATCTATCAACATATTTATAATATAGTAAATGAAAAGGACAATTTATAAAACAGTTTAGAATATAATATCCTATACATTAGAATATAGAAAAAATTATTGAAAGACACATTCTAAAGACTTAAAGTTTTGAGGTACATAATATTTGAACTATGTAGATTTTCTATTTCATTTATCTTAGCTATGTTTTCTAAATGTCCTAAAATAAACATGTACTACTTTTAAATATAAAGTGTTATTTCAGAATATTTTGTAATTAGAAAACAGTAAGCTATTATATCTTTTTAAAATATTTTCCATGGTATACTATCAGAGAACAGTCTGAGGAATAGAGATAAATAGTAATTCAAATTAATCCTCTTGATAAATTATGCAAAATGACAACAATTATGATAAAAAATTAGTTTTCAGAGCAGTATTCCTTGGTGGCTCACTAACATTTTGACACTGGTACTTGACAGAAGTATACCAATGAGGTAATCTTGAACAAAAAATGAACAAAAGCCCTATGAATTGGATTTACCTATTGACAAGAAATCCAAGGGACCAGAAGGGGCACAATCAGGAAACTCTATATACAGGATAAATGACTGGGTTTTATTCAACCAAAAATACAAGAAAAGGAAAGATCAGAGGGAAACCTATAGATTAAAAGAAAATAAAGGGAGATACAACCAATCACTATGTATGGTTCTTATTTACAACCCAAGTCAAATCAAGTAAAAAATAATATAATTGTAATTTATAAAATAATTTGAGAAATCTGAAGTGTCTAAGTATTTTAATATTAAATGTAAGGCAATATAATAGTGGTACTACTATGTTTTGCTAAGGGTCCTTACTATTTAGAATGACATACTGAAATATGACAAGATGGGCAAAGTAGATGTGCATACAAATGAAACAAGATTGGTCATGTATCCATAATTATTGAAGGTGAGTGATGGATAACATTAAAGCCATTTCTCCAGTATGTTTAAAAATTTCAAAAAAAAATTTGTAGAAGGGTTTTATGAGATGAAATGATACGCACAGAGCTTAAAGAATTACACTTAAGTTTCAATATCTAGGGCTGTAACCGAAGATATTGACTATCAGCTGCATACTTTCTGAACTTAAGGAATTCTTGAGGTACATAATCTTCTTAGTGCTGGACATTAACAGGCAAAAGTAAAGAAAGTCTGCACTAACCTTGTACAGTGAAGTGTCTTAAAGGTAAAAGTGATGAGACGCTGTAAGTCTCCAAGCTTTTAAGAACATCTAGGACACTATTTATTTCTATTCCTTACCAATTTGTAACAAATTAACCTTGAAAATAAATCTCTCTCAAAAAGCAATACACAGCCTTAGAAGCAAAGTTCAAGCTTCATTTTTAAAAGGACCAGTCCAGACTAGTCCCTTGCTAGAGAAAACTGAGGTTAATAAGCAATTACTTACATGGAAAGCAAACTGCCCTGAGAAGTCGTACATGCCACAGGAATGCATCAAACTCAGTGTATTTCGAACTGCTTCAGGACTTAGTACTCTTTCACCAGTAATTGGGCAGAAACCACCATTTGCTAATGTTGCAGCCATCACACTGGCTGATTCACAAGTCACTTCAATAGAGCATAGCTGAAACCAAGAAAAGGCCAAATCCTGAACACTTAGGCTCATACTATTTTGAATAAGACAGGTACCTGTAAAATAATCTATTTTATCTGGTATGTTATACAAATCTGAAATATTTCTTCCAAAGGGATGATTTTATGTGATTTGATGACACTCCAAAGTTTTTAATTGGCTAAAGTTGTAGCCTCTTTAAGATTTATCTTGATTTGTTTAAAGTTATAATGGCAAAATTAAACTAGGAAAAGCTAACCCCTAAGCACTGTAATTTGTTATTGACTTATGAGATATTTAGACTTGCTTAAATATTACTGCTTTCTGTGGATTACATAAGCATAATTGTAATGCAACATGGAAAAACAAACCATGATATATATTTAAGATAAAACAACATACATGAACAGTATGATAGAAGAGTGTCTGTATGAAAAATTAGCACTTTAGGGAAAAAAAATGATAAAATGCCTGCTATTTCACCTATAACAAAGCTCAGAACTCCACTTATATAGTAACATTCAAAGGACAAAGGAAAAGAAAAGTCTAAGACAGTTGAAACTTAGATGCTCTATGAACCTGAACTACAAGGTTACCTTTTAAACCATTTCTTGGTATTTGTTATTTACATGGGTAATGAATGTATCATGATAAATGAAAAAAAGAGAAAGCCCAGGTACTCTTGGATAAAATTTTTCCATTTATTTAAAATCAAAATAATAGTAATAAGGGCTGGGGATGTAGCTCTATGGTAGAGTGTTTGCTTACTTGCCTAGCATGTACAAGGCCTTAGGCTCGATCCCCAGCACCATACACGCTCATACACACACACACCAGAAATAATTTACCATACCAAACCCAAATTCACTTATAAAATAGGATAATAAATTCTTCACATTTTATTTTTAGTTAACTAAAATTAGGTAAGTGGGACAGAAAAGGTAGTAAACTATCTTCAGTCATACTCCACGATCTACAAGAGGTACAAAGGAGACTAGAAATTGCAAGAAGGAAAATTAATTAACTACTATGAATTAAAACGTAATTTGTGAAATGACTTTTTGATCAACTTTCACTTTTGCCCTTTTATATTAAAATCTTATCCTTATTTCTCTAAAACTACAGAATCTACTTACTATCCTATTCCAGATAGCAGACTTATAAAGTTAATTTAATCATGAAACACCTTCTAAAAGAAATTAAGATTTCAACTCCAATGATCTTTTCCTGATTCATACTTAGTATTCATTAGAACTTTGTCATACAGTGATGTTCTCCTCATTTGACAATGACAACTTAAGAATGCACTCCTGATAATGGATGTTCTCTAATTAGATGTAAGTAACCCTTCTCCGATCTCTTGATTTTTGCATTTAAGTATAGAAATTTCACAGTAGATTAGTAGCACTTAAGCCATAACAGCCAAAGTTAAATATATATTCCAAAGGAAAAAAAAATTTAACTTATGGAAAAAGTTTGTATGTATCAGAGGAAAAATAAAAGTTACCAGATATAAAAGGAAAATGATACTGTATAAGTCTTCAAAAGAATTTTACACATAATCATCTCGTGTTATTGTCAGTATAACAGGCAATTTAGGTAAAAAAAAAATATGCTAGATAATGAAACTAGGGTTTAGTAACTGAAATTAGATCACATGGGCTAGCAGTGGCCAGGCTAGCTCCGAATTTTAAGTTGATAATCTAGATTCCTAATTCATCACTTTTCACATTGGGCAGATGACAATGACCTTTACTTCCATCAAAATCTACAGCAGACCCTTGGTACCCTTCTTGGTTCCAAGAAGAATGCCACTGAGGAAAAACCACAAATTCTCAAGACGCACCGAGCTCCATACTGTACTGCTGATGCTTAATACATTTTTCCCATAATGCCACCCAACTTCTGCTAAAGACACACCATCTTTCAACAAATCTAAAAATTTTAATTTATTATCTCAATTAAGCACATCATGTGCTTAATTTTAGCATGGGAGATTACCATGACTTTTCTTTTTTTTTGTTGGGGGGGTGGAATATTAAAGGCAGGGAATTCCTCAGCAGATAACAGATCGATCAATTTAAACCCAACTGATGCGGGACTGAGTGCTTCTCCACATTATCTGATCTGTGTAATGCACATGCAGGAATTTAAAATTTTCTTTTCTGAAATTTCTTTTATTTATTTAGGCTGCACTCAGTCAAAACCACATGTAATAAATCCACAAATAAGGTGGGCTTACTATACTTCATTATCAACTTTCCTATATATTCTGTAATACTAACAAAACATTAAAAACTTTTAAAAGACAGGAAATATAAGGTAAACTAGAAATTAAAACCATGCAGCCTCTATGTATCTTTACACTATAGCTGCATCAGTGACACCAATGGTGTTAAAAAACTAATACTAAACTGACCTGAAATTATGGGGGGAGGAAAGGGATCTCCAAGAAGGCGATAATAAACTGAGGTTAGAAATAATGAGAGCTACCCTAAGAAGAATATTTATACTATGTAACACTGCAGAAATGAACTAAACAATTATCTTCCTGCCATTAATTAAGCCAGGACCAAGTAGTAACAAAGAGTATAAAAGAAAGCAAGTCATTTTTAAAAATGCTGAATACAAGACCTCTGATAAACAAATAACTTCTTCCAGACAAAATATAAAAACTAAGAAAATAGAGCTCAGCTTATAATCAGGAGAAATCAATTTCTGGAATTATACATAAGTTCCTAAACATCTTTCAGAAAATTTTTTCCCTATTCCATTGTAATGCAGGAATTTTTAGGAGATACAGACATAAGACTGCTTTTCTTGAGGCCACTGTTTGAAAGAAAGTCAGTGGACAATATATTTTCTCATGATCTATAGTTGAGACCTATTTATAGACACAGTTATGCAATTAAAGTAAATTACCTGGAAATAGAAATCTAGTATACCAACCATGTCTGTGCCTTCAGGAAAGCACTGAAAAAAAAATTAAATAATTAGGCAAATAGGAAAAATATGCATATAAGTAAAAACATTATCAAGTTTGAAGTGTACGAAATGTTTCATTTTAATTAAGAACAAAATAGTATGTAGCCTTTAAGAGAACAAACAGGAATGAAATAAAGAACAAAAATTACATCACATCATATAAATTTCTAGATATTAATTTAACTGACAATGATAAACTGATTCATAATTCACAAATCAATTTATTGGACCAGTAACTTAAAATTTAAAGAGAATCAACACAAACTAAGCATTATACATTTTAAAATGGACTAAACTTCAAGCAGAATTTGCACTAATATGACTAGTCAAATATTTGAATACTGCCAGATACAAATCACTTTAATAGCAATATTAACTTTTGTTAACATTAACTTGAGTACTTTGCAAAAGCTTCTGCATTTTAAATACTAATAAAGGTATTGAAAAGCTATTGTTGAGTGCTTAGCATGTCATCATATTTTATTAAACAAAATAATTTGAAATAGAAACAAAATTTAAAAACCTTCTTTTCCTTCAAGTAATATCCTATTGCAAAATTTCGATCTCCACTTTCTCTTTCAGATTGAAACCTAAAAGAAAAGAGTATCACTGCTTACTTTCAGTAAAAGTATTATCTGTAGTTTAATGTATATAGCACTGAACAGTATAAAGAACACTGAGCTAAGAGTCAGGACGGCTAAGTTTTAGTCTCAATTCTGCCAACAGGCTAGTTTTGTGGCTTTGGAAAAGTCATTTAAATGTTAATTCTTTCAGTCTTAATTTTCTCAGGTGAAAAAGGCCTGAAATGAACTCAGAGCCTTTCTAATCTTCATATTTTATAAAAAAGAAGCTAATTGTAAAATTCTCTGATATTCCATCATTAGGATACACCGAAAATGTGTAGAATCCTTTGGCTGCCGAAAAGTACAATAAACAATTCCAACTGAGGGAATCCATGGAAAGTTCACTGAGAAAGGAGCACATAAAATGGATCCTGCAGGATTCACTGGATTAACAGATTTCAGGGGCAGCCTGGGCAGCGGGACAAATTCCATACAGCACGAACGAAGTTATAAAAGCATAAACAACAGGGGCAGGGGCATTGCTCCAGTGTTTGAGCACTGTCTAGCATGTGCAAGATTCAGGGTTCAATCCCTGGCACCACAAAAGATAAACTAAAAGAGTAATATGCATATGAGAAGTAACAAAACAGCACTGAAAATAAAATTCTATAATTTTTTTGGTTAAAGAGGTCCAATGACCAACAATAAAAACCTAAGCCACAAATTAGACTCACGTTGCATTACTGAATCCAACATACTCATTACCAGCCATCTTATTTAAAAACTGCATCACCTACAAACCAAAATAAGAATACATTAGTAACCAAAAACAAATATTTAAAGAATGTATCATGAAAACAGAATTCTACATTGTACTTACATAGTCAAATTTTTCAGCATTATTTACTCCTTGCTACAAAGAAATAAGAGGTATAAATGTTAACAGAGATACTATCACAGTTATGTTTTAAGCTAATATAATAATTCAAATAGCTACCATTATATTTAATCCACTGCATTAGTACTTTTAAATCTAGGAAATACTACTAAAGTAATTTAAAATTTCAACTTTTTTACATATTAACATCCATATGTTGAGGAAAAATCAAAATTATAAAGGGAATGCTTTATTTTAAGCATAGCATTATTCAACTCAAAGTTACAAAATACAATTTACCCCGAAATCCCCTTATCTTTCATGACAGCACATAGTTTAGTTTCTTACTTAAAAATTTTTAAAGTTTTACCCTTAAAAGCAGTATCTTATAAATCATGATTTTCAATTAAGAACAATATTTTTTTAAAAAACCGCTTAAGCCAGTATTAATTGAGTTAGAAAAATGAGTTAAAAATTGACTAATCTTTTATTCTGGTATATACAAACATTCTGGATACATTTTACTTATTTCTCACTTGAAATAACAATGCTTGAACTAAAAAAAGTTACATCACAGTCTTGAAAAAATTAGCTACAATTGTATTTAACATTATGCCAATTCAGATTGTGGAAGATGTATTGTTTCATCACTTCTATTTCTGACATGTTAATCTACTGCAAATGTCATTAGGAAAAAACCTATGTAACGTAGATCAGTTCAAGTAGCCAAATGGTTTTATTTTACCTCGGCGAAGTTTACAAAGCAGTAAGTTGTAGATCTGAAATCAAACGTATTAATTGGTGATATGCACCCAATAGAAACAATACATCTCTAATTTCTAAAACAAGAATAAAGTAAAATAATTTGATAACTAGTTTTAAAAACATTTTTAAAATCTACCCTCAAAAATTCTAAAACATTATACTTTAAAATGCTATTATGGGGAAAAATCTGCTCCAGATTATTATTTAACTGAATAAAGCCAGGTTGATTCTCCACTTATAAAATTAGAGTATGGCTGAGAATATGTGAAACCCTACAAATCGGTTTTTTAAGAAGGAAGTGCCATCACACATATACAACTAGTAACTGGAAGACCATCACACTGTTTTATCAAAATTAGGCATTAACAAAATTTAAGTAAGACAAAGATAATTTAGTAACAGCTAACTGTAATTCCTATGTATATATTTTCCTATGACATATTTTTAAGCTTTCTTTTCTTAAACCAGAAATCAAACTGTAGAAATGTAACTCCAAAGCTGTTCAATGAAAAATAATTAAAAGAAGAAATTACCAACTTCATTGAACTGTTGCAGCTGTCAAAATATTCCATAGATCCTAATGCTGTAAAATATGTAACAACATTTAAGCCACAAAAACCTTTTTAACCTTAGGAAAAGCACAAAAAAAAAAAAAAAGCCCAATTCTTTTGGAAAAGGATGTCAGCGTTTGTACTAGAATATCACAGAGATAAATACTAATTGTGCAATTAATCAATGTAAAATAAACAAAGTTGTATTGAACTTACATCCTCTGACCTAAGCTGTATATTATAAAGTTTTCCTTATTAAGCTATACACTATAGTTTCCCTTATTGAGCTCTCATGATTAATACAGAAAATTAAAAAACTGTTTCAACTCTACAATGAGGTCACATACTTGATTTATTTTGTGGCTTTTAACTTATTTTTAAGAAACTGATATTTACCAGTATCTATCATTATATAATATTTTGGGTAAGCTACTTAATAGTGTGAAATAAAATAATGACTGATTATGTGGACTGAAGAATGTCTCTTACTCCATTTAAATGCAAAGTAATTTGACTATTTGTTCTTTTTAATACCCTGGAAATGGCATTTTACTTAATCAACAATATATATTTGTCCCAGAATCTGTTGGAAAGATTTCATGTACCCCAGCTCAACAGTACAAGCTACGGATGGTGGCATGTGCCTGTCATTCGGTAAGATGGGAAGTGTAAAGTAGGACAGAAGTCCAGGACAGCCAGGGCAAAAAGTGAAAACCTATGTCCAAAATAACCACAGCAAAAAAGCCAAGGCATGCTCAAGTGGTAGAGTACTTGCTTCAGAACCATGAAGCCCTGAGTTCAAACCCTAGTACTGGCAAAAAAACCCACCAGCAACTGTCATCACCACTGCCATGGCATAGTGGAGGAATAGATGTTACAAAAATTGAAGCTGGGAATGGATACTTGGAGGCTGATTTTAATACTGTTTATTTTGTACATATTTGAAGTTTTTCATAGTGAAAAATTAAAGGAAAAATGTTGATTTGCTAATCATCCCAATACTAATTTGCAAGATTGTTATCTTTTTGAGTAGTCTCTTTCCCTGCTGAAGTAGAAATTGATTTTTAGTTCACAGATCAGTGGATATTTTCTATTGAATGAGATGGATTAATCCCCTTCCTATTTTTAGCTTTTACAGATGCATGAGTTGAGAAACCCTGTTTATAATAGATAGACTCAAATAGAAAAAAGGTTACCATATCAGTTAGTTCTTTATATAGCATCTCATGACATCCCAAAAGTCACACAGTACTCTATCTTCAGAAATTATTGCTTTTACTAAATGACAACCTGTTTAAATACTATTTCAAATTGGTTGAACAGGACTTATTACTGTCATTGCTATGATTCACATCCTCAATATAACTGACTTCAGTATTTCAAAACACTATTGTGTTGGTGCCCAAGAATTTTTTACCAGCTAAAGCAGTGCTCTGTAGTAAAATTTAGGACACATAAGAAGAATGACATTCTTTTGGAAAATGGGAGGCATCTAGACTAAAGGCAGATTAATTTTAAGACAGGAACATATGGAAAAACATCTGGAAATTTATTTTTATTTTCTTAAACTATCAATGTCCCTTCTTGCCCATCATATACCCAGGAATGTTTATCCCAGTTTGAAGATCACAGTACAACACTATAACAAACTTATATTATTTTAATTTTGAAAAAGTTTACACTAATTTGTAGTAAATACATTACAAATGTTTTTTAAAGAAATGAAACCAGGCAAAATATATTTACCTAAGTTTCAAATCCTGTGGTTTATTTGAAAAGGATAATCAGACGCTAATTCTAAAAAACTTAAATTTTTCTACAAACATGCCTATCAAGTTATAGAATGTACATCCTTTGAAGATGTACATGTGAAATTTTAATAAAGATATACTGAGTTTTGTCTACTAAAAGAATTACTGTAACTATGTTGGAGTATTTTTATACTCTATTTTCCCAACATGTTCATGAACATGTCAACAAAGACATTTGGCAAAAAAAATTTAATTTAAAAAATGGCTCATTTAAAGTCAATACATTAATCACAGTTATTTTGTAACTCACTTGATTCCATTCACAAAGTATGGAGATGCAAGCCAATTAAAAAATACAGAATTTCTTCTATGAAGCAACAAGAGGTAATTGAAAATGATTTCATAAAATATTCTTGGTTTGATATTACCATAGAAAATGCTTTCAAGCTAAATACTATTAGAAGAATTAAAAATAGGTATTACAGGTAAAAATGTTTTTCTGTATCTAGTATTTTCATAGATTAACTCTAAAAGTAATTCATTTGAACCAATCTCCTTTCATTAAAAAAAAAAAACATAAATGCATTAACTAACATAAACCTGAAGCAAATAAACCAATATAATCCTGTCTTCTGAATGTATCATGGCCAGGGCATCATTCATTACTACCTACTTACAAACCACATTAAGAGTGTGGCTTATAAGCAAATCTAACAGATTACTGCTAACACGACCAAATGAAGCATTACATACACATGAACTAAATTTGTCTTGATTTTTCATGGAGTATTGATTAAATTGTTTAGAAAAAGAGAAATATAAAACATCAATTCTTAAATTCAAAACTACTTCTGAGTTTTTAAAAATCAAATTTCCTCAAATGATAAAAACTGGAAACCTCCACTAGAATAAAGAGACATAAACATGGAAGACCATGCTGTTTACTCTACTTCTAAAATAAAAAAGCAAAAGTGGCAATTATTTTGCAGTATGTGTCCTCATGTTCCTACCCTAACTCTCAAGTCATCAGACTTTAACTTTTAAACTAAAACTACATGAAATTTTTACCACCAAACAAATAAAAAAAAGTGTATGCGTATACATATGTATACATATATAAATAAGTGCTATTTCTTTGTTTTGATTCTTTTAATAAATTTACTTTAAATTTTATCCTTAATAGAACAAAGGAATTTCACTGAAAATTTCAGAGATGGATACGATGTACTCTGAACAGTAGTTCGCCCCCTGTGCTATATTCTTTTACCTCTCTATTCCTTTCCCCTTGTCAAACAGTATTTGGTGTGTTTCATTATGCTATCTTCATACATACACATGTAATATGCTTCAGACAATGCTACTTCATCTAAACATAACTGTGTTCCTTTCATGTTTATTTTTATGTTTTCCTTTAAATCAAGCAATAACACATTATCATCATGAAACAAAACAGACTGTAACAAAAAGTATTCCTTTAAAGTTAGTAGCTCCCACACAGAAAAAGTGTGGAAGTATAATAACCCTTATGCTTCTTGACTATGTGCATTTTAAGTATAAAATGACATTTGTTTTCAAAAAGGTATTTACCTATATAGCTTTGTTTAAAATTTTAAATATTGTAGTTTTCCTATAAGCTTAGTAGTTAAGAATTTATGCAACAGGTTCCTTCTGTCCAAATCCTCCTTTTTTCCACAATCTGCTAATCCTTTTGAACATTTGCTTTGCCTCTTCCCCCATTTCCTGAGGATCACCACCAATCCTACAAGGAAAAAATATCAATACTACAAAATTATGAAATAAAGAGTCTTACTAAAGACTCCATTTAAATTTTTTGGGGAGGGGAGTAACATGAGAATTGTTTTAAGTGGCACCATAATAAAGCCCTGAATTTTGAATGAAAAAAAAAATCACAAATAACCTTAAGGTCAACTAAAAGATGAGCAAAAATGGAAATTCACATCTAGTAGCCTTCGTAAAATATCTATGCTTTGGACATTCAAACAGAAGTTCTTTAGGAAGGGGTCTGTTTTATTACAGGTAACAGATACTGACTAAAAACAGTGACCACACACCCACGAAAGAATAGATGGAACATTTAAGCCAATAAATCAGAATCTTTTGTACAAGTTAAAAATTAAGAAAGCAGTATTTCTATTTTTTCTGCACAATATAACTATGCTAGTTGAAGTGAAAGATGTCATCAAGTAAAATGGTAAACAATGAATTCTAAGGAACAGACAGATTAATTCTAATGCTATGACAACCTATCCAGTCTGTTTCCTAAGTATATAAAGCAAGAGAACTGGTTTCTTTTGGCTATGGTTTTATTACCTTAATTTCAAACCATTAGTAACTGATAAACACTATGCAATCATATAATTAATAGAGACTGCATACAAATATTTATATAAGTTTTTAATTTTTTCTTTTAAAGATCCTAAGAACGGTATTACATTTTGGGGCAGTCAGTTTTTCAAAGAGTTGTATATCAAGCTTTGCTCTCCAAGATTTATATGGACATCAGTTAAAAAAAAAAATCACTTGTGAAACATTCTAGAAACAAAACAAAAACTCAAAGAAGTGACCTTAAATATGAACTATAACCCAAAGCCTCATTCCAGACTTGTCAGTAAATTTGAATTTTTTTATTAAGTTAAAATCCCTGATCAAATCTGCATATACAAGGGGACTCAGTTAAATTTCTGCACTATAGGACAATTATGTTGTCTATGTGTTTTTAAACTCTGTTTCTAATTGCTCATACTGATGTGGTTCAAACGAATGACTGACATGTTAAGTGCAACTAATGAAATGGTGGTGTGATGTGACTAGACATGCAGTTCCCACATGCAGCATTTCAGTGTAGTTGATGAAATCCATGAATCATTAAACACAAAGATTTTTAACTGCATGCAGTTAAGGAAGTCCTCTATTAATCATTTACACATGCCCTTTAAAAAAAAAAATACTATTGGTGTGTCATGTTAAATCTTTCTCCAATGTAAGAGTTTTTAAAGCGGGATCCATGGATTATCTTAGCAGGGTCTGTCAGCCCCCCGACATGTATGCAAAGTCATGGTGCACAGACATTTTTCTGAACCCAGAAATGATTCGGAATCATTCTAGTGTTTTGAAAATCAAGCATTAACCGGCACGTTGTATGATAATTTTCCTCACTTGTATAATTATATAATAAATATTTTAATTATTGATAAGAATTTCTCTCATAACATTTACTGAATTCAACTACAAGGGCCCATTTACCTGTACATATTCCATACTACAATGTAAGCTACCTAAAGGCAGAACTATGCCTTGCACATAATCTCACTGTCATTGCCTACAATAGTTTCTTTCACCAGCATGACATCTTTGCCTTATAAAAAAATAGCCATGAATAAGTAACACTTAATAATGGACAAAATGATTTGTATTTCCCTCAAAATAACAGCTAAACTTACATATTATTATTATTATTATTATTTTGATGGTACTGGGGTTTGAACTCAGGGGCTTCACACTTGATAGGCAAGGACTCTACCACTTGAGTCAAACCCCCAGCTCTTTTTTGCTTTAGTTTTTCTTTTTTTTGGATAGGGTCTCACATTTTCTCCCATCTGAACTTGTGATCGTTCTACCTACAGCCTCTTGCTACCTACGGCCTCCCACATAGCTAGATCACAGGCACACACCACCTCACATGGCTTATTTACTGAAAAGGAGATCTCCCTTACTTTGTGTCCAGGCTGGTCTCAAACTATGATCGACCCAATCTATATCTCCCAAGTAGCTGGGATTATAGCTGTGAACCACTGCACCTGGCTCTAAGCTTATACACTCTTAAGATATCTTTTATTTTAAAACTGTTTTCTCATGAAGATATAAAACTTGTGAAAGCTAAGGGAGAATTTCTAGAATACAAATTATATGAATTTCTATGAATTGGGCCACAGATAATTTATCCTCGAAAATTCTTTGTGTAGCCAGGGTACCCCAACCACAGTAATGAATATAGAAAACCATAAGTTGTATTTTATTCTAACTTGAATAGACAGGCACAAATTTAGAAAGAAAGTATCTAAGTGCTTTAAATACAAATGAGTTTTATTTTAATATAAATAACGTTTATAAATTAGAAATTTTAAATTGAAAAATAAACTCTAAAATTGTATGAGATTTTTACATCATTTTGAAACATATTTCAAAACAACCTTAGAACTTCCAATTATTAAGGCAAACCAAACACTAAAAAAAAAAAAAAAAAACCATACAATGCAAACATCAAAGAATAAGAAAAACATGACTTAATAATTGGAATAGGCCTTACTGTCTTAGTTATGGCATGATTTAAGTATAGCAAATGAAACAGGTTCAGAAAAGACTATGATTCCAGATTATGAGTACAAAAGACCTGAGAATATTCAACAGTAAATGCGTTTCACCTTAAACTTAAATTATTAGAACATTTTCCCCTACATATGTTGATAACAAACATTGCATAGTTAATGTTTTTAATTCTGTTAACATCTGCTCATTCTAAAAACCAAAAAGAAAAGAAACAATATTAAAAATTTTTAAAGAAAAATCTCTATGCCTATTGTTCAGCAAACTTCTTAAATCTCTGCCAAATCTTCAAGTCAGGAAGTAACTAACTGTAGGGATTTACAATGAGTCAACTGTTTTTCATTTTCATTTTTATTTATTAAATAAAAATCCTAACCTTTTACCACAAGATTTTTTAATGCCAAGAAAACTTTTCATAGTCCTACACAAACAGTAAAGACTCATGTTTATGACTTAGTTTATTACAAAAAGTTTACTAGGTTAAAAGGAAATGTCAACATTTTACCTTTATTAATGAAGTCACAACAATTGCTCCAGCATTTACCATAGGATTGTGTGGTTTATCTGGAAAATATAAAAGAAACTGCATTTTTTCCAAATACTTGGTATTATCTTCTTTAACGAGATCCCTTCTCATAAGCATGAATTTTTTTAAAATGTAAGTCACCATTATAGCAATTCTTTTTTTGGAGGGACTTATCTGTTTGAAGTCAACTACATATCAAACCAGTAGGTCACATCTAGGATTCTGTATCAAGAGTCATATAGTCAAAAAAGACCTTACGACAGAGTCAATAATGTAGTACATCCAAAGTTCTTAACTGCTATTTACTACTTATGTGGCCCTGGGCAAGTAACTGATCTTCATTCCTCATCCTATTACTGAATAGGGCAAGGATAGTACCTATACCGCATAGAGTAAATAATTGAGTCAAAACATAGGAAATACTTAGAAAGTGCCTGACATCTAATTAAGCACTCAAATAATATTACTACATTAAAAATAACACTGGAAAAAGCACATCTGGTGTGATCCAATTTTGTTTTTTAAAAAACATTTCTGTGCTTATGTATAAAGACACACATAAAGAACAAAACACAAACACAAGTGATATACATAAGATAATGACAGGGAACTTAAATTGTATTGTCTATGCTTTCCATATTTCCTGACAGTAAACGACAGTTCTTATATAATTTAAACGGTTGTAAATTTAAATTTTTAAGTTCCTCCATAATCCTACCTCTTCTAATTATATAATAAACAGAATTTTCAAATCTGAACTGATAATGGACTGGCTGAATGACTGAAGTGGTTGAGGGCCTGCCTAGCAAGCAGAGGTCAACCCCCAACACGGCCAAAAAAGAAAAAAAAAAAAAAAAAACCTTAGCCGATCACATTCTCACTCTCTGCGTAACAAAAACACTAACCACAAAACTCTGGATAGCAGCGAAACTTCTAATTGCAAGCATACTTCCTAATTTATTTGTTTGTGGCAGTTGTTTCTTCACGAAGAAGTTTTTACCTAACTTGACAAAACTAGCACAGTGCCTTAAACTTGCTGTACTATGAGTCTCTTTGAATTTAAGCAAACCACATTTTGTGAGACTAATCTCCAGCTAAATAATTCTGAGCTCTGGGAAACAGTCCAGCAGTGCTTTAAAAGTTAAAGATAGAATTACCAGTCACTGAGCAACTCCACCTCTAGGTATATAATCAAGAGAAATAAAAGCATATATTCATACAAAAACTTGTATCCAATTTGTTCACAGCAACATTACTGTTAAAAGCCAAAAAATGGAAACAAGTCAAATCTCCCATCAGCTGAAAGGTAGATAAACAAACTGATATTATTACATTGGAATTATAATGGAGTATTATAAAAATTTATATGGGTTTCTTTTGGAGGTAGTGTAAGTGTCCTAAAATTGATTGTGATAATGAACATCAGCTCTGTGAATATAGTAAAAAAAAAAAAAAAAAAAAAACCACTGAGTTATACATTTTTAATAAAGTTGTGTAGTATGCAAATTATATCTCACTGAAACTATTTTTTTGGGCAGGCTGCATGAGTGTGAACTCAGGGCTTTGCACTTGCTAGCAGGCACTCTACCACTTGTGCCACACCTCCAGCCCTTTTTGCTATAGTTATTTTGGAGATAGAGTCTCACTTTTTGTCCAGGCTGGCCTGGATCACAATCTTCCTATTTCATGTTTCTCACCCTCACTAAGATGATATGCACATGCCACCATGCCCAGCACTTTTCCATTGAGATGGGATCTCACAAACTTTATTGCCCAGGCTGGCCTGGAACCACAATCCTTCTGATCTTAGTCTTCCTTGTAGCTTGGGATGACAGGGGCACACCACTGTGCCCATTTATTGGTTGAGATGGGGGTCTCGCAAACTTTTTGCACAGTTGGTCTTAAACTATGATCTTCACAATCTTGCCTACCAAGTAACTAAGATTGCAGACGTGTTCAAGAGAAAAAATATTGATTGGGTAAATTATAGTCTACAAGTTTCCTTCAATAGAAGATTAACAATGTGATTCAGAAGTTATGCTGTTAAAATTATGAATTCTGGATCTAGCAACTAGTTGGTATATACAGCAAACAGAAATGAAATCATTATACTGAAGAGGTAGCTATACTCCCATGTTCACTGCAGCATTATTCACAACAGCTGAGATATAAAATCAACCTATGTGTCCACCAATGGATGAATGAATAAAGAAAATACGGTATATTCACACAAAGAAATACTATTCAGCATTAAAAAATAAAGAAATATTTCACTTACATTAACATGGATAAACCTGGAGGATATTATATTATAAGCAATACAAAGGTCACAGAAAGACAAATACCACTTAATCTTACTTTTATGTGGAATCTAAAAGTTTGAACTCATAGAAACAGAGAGTAGAATGGTAGTTACCAGGGAGGAGGTGATGGTGGATTAGGGAGATGCTGGTCAAAGAGTACAAAATTTCAGTTAGGCAAGAGCAATAGGTTCAAGATACCTATGGGATAATATGATGACTCTACTTAATAACGATGCATCACGTACTTCAAATTACTAAGAAAGCATATTTTAAACCTTCACACTACAAATAAATGATATGTGAGGCAATACATATGTTAATTAGTTTGATTTGGTCACTCCATAATATACATGTCAAAATATCATGTTTTTATACCAAATATTTATAATTTCAAATGTCAATTAAAAATAAGTAAGAGCTGGGTGCCAGACGTTCATGCCTGTAATCCTAGCTTCTTGGGAGGCTGATACTGGGAGGATCGCAGTTCAATGCCAGTGAGCAAATAGTTCAAGAGACACCATCTCCAAAACAGCCAGAGAAAATGGGCAAGTGGTAGAGCACCTCTTTGCAAGCTCAAAGCTCTGAGTTCAAACCCTAGCCCCACTTCCAAAAAAAAACTATATATAAACTTAAAAATAAAAACAAGTAAGAAAAACTGTAGTTTGATTTACTCATGAAAAAGACTAGTTCCAAAAGTTAAAATCCCACTGTTAGTGCTAAGTATTACAGCCAAGATTTCACCTATTCCAAATTAGGCTGACCAGGAAATCTGCTTTCTCTGAGTCTATGCAAAATGACTACACAGCAAGACGGAACCAAGAGGCAAAAAATTTCCAAAAATTACCTATCTGAAAGAAAACCCATAAGCAACAAGAAAGCAGAATACAGAAATCAGGTTGTGCTAAATTGCTTTTTTTAAAAATATTAGGCTTAGCCTTGGTAGGTAATGTGTGTATAACCACATTAAAGTGGTTATTAGGTAAGCATAAGGTTCTGAATTCAAAACCCCAGTAACACAAAAAAAGATGTTCAGTTTAGAGATTTATATTTTAGGTATTACATAGAAATTCTGTAGTGCCATGTAAAAATTAAGTGTTAAAGAAATCTAATTATCCTAACAAACATGTTTGCAATATATTCTAACTATCGCTTAATTTTTCAGTGTCCACCTACATTCTCCCAACCACCCAAACTTCATCCTTCCTCAACAGTTCAGTCCCGGCCTTCGTCATATAAATTAACTCAACTGTTCTTTCTCAAATCTTCTTTGTATAATCAATGCATACACTTAGGCACCTGTTAATTACAGACTTCTAAGGGAACATAATTAGCAATGCTTATGTTTGTTTTCTACCATCAAATATTAAAATATTGTTTGCTGTATGTTGTGGCACTTGCTATATAAGTTACTCCAAGAACTGAGTCCCTGGTATGGCCCAGAGCTGTTAACAATATAGACAGGGAACGCTAGATAAATATGAACTGATTAACCAATCACTGTAAGGCTGAAAAGGAAGCATTCCCTAAGAGATGGTGGCTTCCAAGATTGACATCTCAATAAACAATTTGTTTACTCATTTACACTGATAGAAAATAGCCAACTCCTACCACAGGACCAAATTTTTTATGCTGTAAACATTTAAAAACTATTTTTTAAGGAATAACTACCACAGTTTCTTCATTTATTCATTATATTCATATTAATCTTAATTTATCTACAAATGCATTTATACAGCATATAATTTCATTATAAATCTACCCTTGAGGTTCTAATTATGAAAAATATCTTCAGACTGTCTGGGGCTAGTTTAAACCAAGACTCAAGAATGCAGAATAGATTCAGAACTCAGGAAGGAGTGGAATAGTGAGGCTTTCATTTTACTGTTCCTTTGAAGATTCCTGGATTGGCTCAAGTTTAAAGCACTCTATGAATGCCAAGGGAAGACCTTGGTAAAATCCTGAGTTCTTATTGTGATTTTTTTTCTTACACAGACTATAGCATCAATAAATCATAACTACTAAAGTCATACATATACATGGCAAAAAATTGGTAACATAATAATATTCAGTTCATTTACTACAAACAAAACTATCTATTTTTTTGGTTTCTGAAATTCTTCTTAACATTCAAATTCTTACATTTATAATTTTCTGTTCTTTAAGTACCTCCCTGAAAATCAATCAACTCACCAGAATCACCTAGATTATTCTCCTGTCTTTCATAAGAAAGTATAATTTTTCTGATAACGTGTTATCTTATTAAAATAACAGTATTAATTCTTTCAATATTAAATCTCAATGTCAATGAGCTTCTACATATGATGTCCTCAATGAAGTTGCTAATATATGCTAATTTCCAAAAATCAGGATGGAAATAGTATGGTAAAATAGGCAAGAAAACATAATTACCCTTGAAAAATATAAGAAAAGCCTAAGAAAGTATCAGTCATAACTTCATTTTAAAAACTAATAATTAGAAAGAGACAAGCTCCATTTTTTTTTATCAACAGAAAGAAAAGAACACAAAAATGTATCTCTCAACATTATTCCAACCTTCACTTTTACTTCCTTCAATTTTGTATTTTAATTCACCAAACCATTGGGAACTTTGCATAAGCTTGAAATGTTAAAAACAAATCTAATTTGTATCAGCTAGATGTTTAGATTTAAAATCTGTCAGATCAATGTACCAACTACTTTTGTCCTCCTTTTGAATTACTGTAACATAGTTAAGA